TCTGGCGCGGCCATCTTCTCTTTTTTATGTAAATCTATTTAAGCATCCAGCCTCATTCTCTGACGATGCCCAGCAAACCAGACAGTTCGGCAAATCACAGAACAGTTTACTAACTTCCCTGTTGAACTATTCATTCATTCATTTGTTTGTTTATTTATTTATTTTTGAGTGATTTCTGCTATACGGTGCATGCGCTCGCTGGAGATACAGAGAGAGACAGAAAGCTAGAAATCTCTCCCCAGGGGAGATGGCTAAGCTGGAATCCCTTCTCTTCCATTCTCCTCTCGGGATTTTGGGCATGCACGCACATGTGCCTGGTGTGAGTTTCATGCAGCCAGATCTGGGACTTGAACCACAGTCGACTATGTGGGAGTCAAACGATGTTACCATTCTGCCATCTGCTGGTTTCTGTACTATTTTTTTTTTTAAATGAGTATGTGATCAATTCATATAAACATTTCGTTTTCCAGTTATTTTTAATTGTTACTTCTTGCTTGTAGGTGAGTAATGAGTTATAGCTTTTAAAAAATTTTTAACTTTATTTATTTACATTCATTCACTGTACATCAATACAGTATACAAAATGGGATTTCCCATCCAGATGACACTATATTGGTTTAATCAAGGATATTACCATACATGTTATCATCAACAAATAATTTTTCATTTCTTGTTTCTTATATGTTTTGCTTTTTTATTTTTCCCCTTAATTCTCTACCTCTCTCTCTGTCATTTCCCACTCTCCTTCATTTTGTTTCTGGTATCTACAGTGTTTTCCATGCCGTTTTTTTTTTTTTTTCGTATTTTATTAATTCACTAAAGATCTTACTTAATCTAAAAACTTTCAATAGAAAGCACAGCTAATATACATATCTATGAACACTAGGCATAAACCTCAGTGAATAGTGTGAACATACTATAAAGTACACCTAGCTGGGGCTATATAGCTTACTGCAGTCATTAAATATTTTTTAATGCATTTTTTAATTTCAAGAAAAACAATTACAATTTTAATAGACCAAAATAAAAAAAGTATTAAGACTTAAAGCCAGGAAAAATGTTAGGATTCAGTTCAGATAGTAGATAGATGAAACTATCAATAGTTCAAGAGAAAACAAAAATCCTTAAATCTGGAAAACAAAGCATAGAAGAAAATGAGTAATGCTTTAGTAAGAAGTCATAAAGTTCTATTTCACACCATTTCAGTCTCATGTAATCAATCTCTCTTTATTGAATTTGCAGTGTTACTGTGGTCTGATCTTTCTATTTAAATTCTGGAAGTTAACATTCAACTCTAGATTTGTCCTTACTATTAGGCTGGCCATTTTCTTGGTTGCCTTTTGTACCCTAATTTCTGTGTGTCCAACTTTAGTTTTCCTGGCATAGCACTCCCTTCAGCACTTCTTGGAGAGTTGGTAGGGTGTTGGTAAATTCAGGTTCTGTTTATCTGAAAATGTTTTTAGATTTTTTCCCCCATATAAAGGATAGTCTTGCTGGGTATAGTATTCTTGGCTGAAATTGTTTTTCTCTTAACACTTTGAATATAATTTCCCATTCTTTCCTTGTTTGCATTGTTTCTGATGAGAGATCGATGTTAGCCTGATGGGATATCCTTTGAAAGTAACTTAATGTTTCTCTCTTGCCAATTTTAGTATCTTGTCTCTGTGGTTTGGTCAATCTGTCTATGATTTGCCTTTGAGAAAATCTTGGGTTGATTTTTTTATGGGGTCCTTTGTACTTCTTGGGTCTGGGTATTTGAATGCCTCTCTAGGTTTGAAAATTTTTTTTACAGAATTTTATGGAATATATTATCAATGCCCTGATTAATTTCTTCACCTTCTGGGATACTGATAATATAGATGTTTTGGAGTTTAATGGTATCTAGTATTACTAGTATATTCTGTTTTTTTAGTTACTTTCTCAGTCATTTTGGTGAATTTTCTAGGTCAGAAGTTCAATTGTCTACATCTGAGATTCAATCTTCAGCATGATCTAATCTGCTTTTAGTACTTTCAAGGGAGGTTTTGATTTCTTGTATTACAGCCTTCATTTCTAACAATTCCATTTGATTTTTTTTTTATCTTGGGTATTTACTCTTTCATATCATGCAAGAACTTCCTCACCTCTTGGAACTTGCTGTCTCTTTTCTCCTGCATTTTCTGGTGCCGGGACACAGTTAATATATGGGCTATCTATATATTACAACAATAGAGGGTGAGTCTATTATTTATATGGGAAAGGAAGATGATCTTGTAGCTGAGGAGACAAAACAGGATGTTTTATTAGCAGTTTTTTATAGTCAACAGCACATAGATGAGAAACTCTTTGTAGTTAAAAACTACCTGTTGCTTTAGATAAGAGCTCCCAGCTAAGATAATCTTTCCCTGGAGCCTTCAGGTTTGTTCATCCTGTTGTTGCCAGTCAGGCTTTTTTTTTTCCTTAAAAAAACCCATTGGGTTTCTGTATTTTATTTGCTGAGTCTGTCAATTAGCGAGCTCTTTTGTTTTATCTTTGGATGAATGTGCTGACTTTGCCTAGCATGAGCTAATTGGCTTGTAGCTTTAACAAGGGGTATTTACATAAAACTAGCCTTAAACTAACTTAATCTACATATGTTACTAACTCTAATTTGGCTTATACTAACTTAATCTTAACATATGTTAATTTTGGCTAAAACAGACAGGTGAGGGAGTCTCAAACTTCCCGCCCTCCCCTGCAGTCTTAGGAAACCACATTCCTACAAGATCACTAATTGGCTTTATTGTAATGGTTGGGGTGATATTTTACCCTTGCAGGGTACCATAATAATAGTAAAACTCATGGCAGAGAAATTAACTACAGGTCAGTAAAACAACACAGGGAGGGTTAGTAAACCTTCGGCCTTGTCTCACAGTTTCTTCCCAGCCCAGGCCTTGCCTTTTGATGTGGGAGACAGCCTCTTTACCAGCTTGTGTTGTCTGCATGACCCCTTCATTCTGGAGTTCATTTATTCTGTCTGTCTCGATCTCTCTAATTTAATTTTTAAAGTTCTTAGCATCTCTGCATCTCTGCTAGCTTTGTCACTATGAATATCCTAAATTCTTTATCTGACATTTCCACGAGTTCTCTTGTATTGTCTGTGGAGGAAGAGGAGTTATTCTCTTCCCTTAGGGGAGAGATATTTTCTTGGTTTCTCATATTTCTTGTGTATCTACTTGGTTTCTGGTCATCTGATGGATTATATCTTTTGCTTAGTTTTTGGAGTTAAATCTTAGCATTCAGGGGCATGCTGTGAGGAGGTAACCTGTGATTTCCAAACAGTACTATTTGTTTTCTCTTTGTGCAGCAGATTGAATGGAAATTGAGGATTAATCTGACCTTGAAAATATTCAGCTATTTGGCTATAGTGCACCTAAACCTGTCTAAATATTCAGTGTGTGCATACTGAGCAGAAATGCAAAAAGGAGAAAAAGAAAGAAAAAGTAAAAGGAAACAACTAGAAAAAGAAAAAACAAGACAAAAACAATTTAACAAAAAGAGAAAAGAAAAAAAATTTTAAAGCAAAAAATGAAAACCGCATAGCACTCAGAACTCAGATATAGATGGCTGGTGATTGGCCTATCCTGTGTGGGTAGTGGGAAAAGTAAGAATTGGCAAGACAAAAGAGCAACAGAGAGCTAAGAATTTTAAAAATTAAAAAAATAAAATAAAATAGAAGAGAAAAGAGAGAGAGAGAAAGAGAAAGAATAAATAAGGTGCTCTAATTTGTCTCAATCTGGTGGGTAGGAGGGTGAAGTCTGAAAGTGGCACTCAGAACTCAGATTTAGATGGCTCGTAATTGGCTTGTCCTGGTGAAGTGGGGGGGGGGGGCAGGAGCGTGTCTTCTGGACTGAAGGTCTTCAGTGGGGCACTCAGAACTCAGATATACATGACTGGTGATTATCTTGTCCTGGCTTGATTTTGGGGGCAGGAGGGCAAAGTCTGGGTAGGAGGTCCTAAGTGGTCCTAATCTTAAGTTTCACTATTTATCTTTGATTTTCTTTAGTTTTTCTACCTAGACATAATATCTGAAAACAACTAACACTATTTCCTCATAGCATATATGTGTTGACTAACTTTCTTACAGCTATTAAGCAACACTACAGTTTAATATACTCACAGTTTAATATAGTACAGGACTCAGAGTAATGGAATTAATAGTACTTAATCTAAGTGTTTTGTGGAAACTTTGTGGGTTTTTGGTCTAATTAATTATTATAAATATTTTCTAATAGTAAAATCTAAAACATCTTTCTGTCTTGTGCATTATTCTGTAGTCTCTTCACAAAGCACGGGAGAATGAGATTGAAAGTGAAGAACATTTTAAAGCCATTGCTCAAAGAGAATTGGGACGAGTGAAGGATGAAATCCATCGACTGGAAAATGAGATGGCTTCAATACGGGAAAAGAAAAATGATAAGGAAGTATGGGTTGAAATGTTACTTAAAATGTGCTACCACTCCTTCCCTTACAAACTGGAAGCATTGTTTTTTAAATATTTTTCTGTATAGAAAAGAAATTCCTTAGTTCCCTGGCTTTACTTAACATTTCGTTTTTGTTTTATTTATTTTGTTTTGACAATGCAATGCACATGGAACTGTCATTTAAATGAAATAATGATAAAATGATGGAATATACTTCCACTCCATACCCTCTGCCTCAGCCCCCAAATATGTATTCACCAGCTACTTCTTGAAACTTACTCTGTGCAAAGCATCATACTGGCTGCTTGTTACAAAATACTAGTGCTACATTTTTTTTTTAAAGTCCTACATACTCTTTTTAAAAAATTTTATTTATTCATTTATTTATTTTTAATTTGATGAAGAGAGACACAGAGAAGGAGAGGAAGAGGGGAAGTGAGAAAGCAAGCCACCAGATCCAGGACTTGAACCATGGTCAGCCATGTGGGAGTGTCCAGCACCTTAACCACCATGCCACCTGCTAGTCCCTGTAAGTGCTACATTTTTAACAGCCACATTAAAAAAAACACAAAACATTTTTAGTTTTGAATTTCATTAAAAAATTTTAACTTTCATATTAATTTGGCAGCTTTGTGACTCTAATGGTAAACTATTTTAACCTATTTGTTTTCTTCTTTTAGTTTTTAATTACTTGATTTGGGAATTCTTTCCAAATTCTTACCCATCTCTTTACATATGCATGTACATATAGAGATGCATATATAAGTATATATACATGTACACACATTTGTATTTTATTATAATTTAATAAGTTTATATATAATATACATATTTGTCAATTTATATTTTTACATTATTCTGTGTTTTCCTTTATGAATCTAAATTTCCTAAATGACTATGTTTCAGAAATATTTTTATTTCCTGTGCATATTTACTTCAATTAGGAGTGCTTCTAAAATTCTATATATTAGACCTTTAAGGGCACCAATATGATTGGAAATGGGGTAAAAGGGAGCTTAAATTTGTGATTTTGGGGGCAGGAGGGCAAAGTCTGGGTAGGAGGTCCTAAGTGGTCCTAATCTTAAGTTTCACTATTTATCTTTGATTTTCTTTAGTTTTTCTACCTAGACATAATATCTGAAAACAACTAACACTATTTCCTCATAGCATATATGTGTTGACTAACTTTCTTACAGCTATTAAGCAACACTACAGTTTAATATACTCACAGTTTAATATAGTACAGGACTCAGAGTAATGGAATTAATAGTACTTAATCTAAGTGTTTTGTGGAAACTTTGTGGGTTTTTGGTCTAATTAATTATTATAAATATTTTCTAATAGTAAAATCTAAAACATCTTTCTGTCTTGTGCATTATTCTGTAGTCTCTTCACAAAGCACGGGAGAATGAGATTGAAAGTGAAGAACATTTTAAAGCCATTGCTCAAAGAGAATTGGGACGAGTGAAGGATGAAATCCATCGACTGGAAAATGAGATGGCTTCAATACGGGAAAAGAAAAATGATAAGGAAGTATGGGTTGAAATGTTACTTAAAATGTGCTACCACTCCTTCCCTTACAAACTGGAAGCATTGTTTTTTAAATATTTTTCTGTATAGAAAAGAAATTCCTTAGTTCCCTGGCTTTACTTAACATTTCGTTTTTGTTTTATTTATTTTGTTTTGACAATGCAATGCACATGGAACTGTCATTTAAATGAAATAATGATAAAATGATGGAATATACTTCCACTCCATACCCTCTGCCTCAGCCCCCAAATATGTATTCACCAGCTACTTCTTGAAACTTACTCTGTGCAAAGCATCATACTGGCTGCTTGTTACAAAATACTAGTGCTACATTTTTTTTTTAAAGTCCTACATACTCTTTTTAAAAAATTTTATTTATTCATTTATTTATTTTTAATTTGATGAAGAGAGACACAGAGAAGGAGAGGAAGAGGGGAAGTGAGAAAGCAAGCCACCAGATCCAGGACTTGAACCATGGTCAGCCATGTGGGAGTGTCCAGCACCTTAACCACCATGCCACCTGCTAGTCCCTGTAAGTGCTACATTTTTAACAGCCACATTAAAAAAAACACAAAACATTTTTAGTTTTGAATTTCATTAAAAAATTTTAACTTTCATATTAATTTGGCAGCTTTGTGACTCTAATGGTAAACTATTTTAACCTATTTGTTTTCTTCTTTTAGTTTTTAATTACTTGATTTGGGAATTCTTTCCAAATTCTTACCCATCTCTTTACATATGCATGTACATATAGAGATGCATATATAAGTATATATACATGTACACACATTTGTATTTTATTATAATTTAATAAGTTTATATATAATATACATATTTGTCAATTTATATTTTTACATTATTCTGTGTTTTCCTTTATGAATCTAAATTTCCTAAATGACTATGTTTCAGAAATATTTTTATTTCCTGTGCATATTTACTTCAATTAGGAGTGCTTCTAAAATTCTATATATTAGACCTTTAAGGGCACCAATATGATTGGAAATGGGGTAAAAGGGAGCTTAAATTTGGCTTGAGTTAGTGTATGAAGCACATTATTTTCACCAAGATCGTGTTTATTATGGATGACTTTGGTGAAGTGACTGGTGAGATTGTTGAGAGGATGCTGTCCTGAAGCCTAAAGTCTTTTAAAGTGACCTTTGCTTCAACTATTATTCTCAACTTTGTGTAAACATCTCATATATTTTACAGCTAAAAAAGGAAAATGTAAGTTAGGATAGTTATATTATCAAATCATAAGTATCTAGAAAGTTGGGACAGGATTTCTTTTCAAATATGCTCTATAGTATATAATGTTTTAGTTTCTATAAATAATATTTTGTCATCTCTCTTTTCTGGAAACTAGAATAGCATATTTAAAGCTACTCAAAAATTGGATGGCTTGAAATGTCAAATGAACTGGGATCAGCAAGCATTGGAAGCCTGGTTAGAAGAATCAGCTCATAAAGATAATGATGCCCTCATGCTTCAGAAGTATACACAACAAGATGATAATAAAATTAGGGTAAGAAATTATAAATTGTAATTGTTAGACTTTTTTCAGAATCTGTAGTTATGTCAACTTTTTTTTTTTTCTTTAACCTAAAATTACACTTACATTTTTCAAAGCAGAAGTTTTTAAACTTTTTTGGGTCAGAGACTCCTTTGAGAACTCAGTAATGCCAAATGACTTTAGTCTAATACCCAGAATATTTTGCTGGTGTTTTTACAGATTTGCTGAAGCCCTTTGGCTATCCATAGACCCTTAGGTAGGAATATCCTAATTTAGAAGAATTCTTGAAAACATTTCAAAAGAAGAAAGTTTTGCACTAGAACTGTTTATACCAATTTTAACCATTTTGTCCAAAATATAGTTTGAATGTTACGTATAGTTTTGTCTCAAATAAGTTTTAGTGTTATATGTGGTTTTTGCTGATTTTAGACTGTAGTGCTATTGAAATGTTATCGTAGTCATCACTTAAAATCCAGCTATATTGGGTTGTCAAAAAAGTGATGACACATTTTTGCATAGAAAAACTTTTCCAACAACCCAGTAATTACATCTGATGATATTAACAAAGTTAGTGCAGGTTAAGCATCTAATCTGAAAAACTGAAATCCACAGTGCTCCAAAATCTGAAACTTTTTGAGTGCCCACATGACACCACAGTGGAAAGTTTTACTCCTGAGAGATAGCAATGCTGCAGTAAAAACTACTACATAAAATTATCTTTACTCTATGTGTCTAAGAGGTGTATTAAACATAAATGAATATGGTGTTTAGACTTGGGTCCCATACCAGAGGTAAATCATTAAGTATATGTAAATATTCCCAAATCCAGAAACATCAGAAACCTGAACCATTTCTGATCCCAAGCCGTTTGGATAAGGGATGCTCAACCTATATGCTTGCCAGAAAGACAGAGACAGACAGATAGAGAGCAAGACATCATCCCCCAGGGGGGTGGCCATGCCACAATCCCTTTTCCTCCATTCTCCTCTCAGGATCTTGGGCACGCACACACATTTGCCCAGCATGAGTTTAAGCCACCAGGTCTGGGACTCAGACCACGGTCGCCTATGTGGGAGTTCAGCATTTTAGCCATTATGCCATCTGCTAGTCCCAAAACATGCTATTTTTAATTTTTTTAAAGAATTATTTTATTTAAGTTTATTATTATTTTTGAATTTGACCAGGGAGAGACAGAGAGAGAGGGAAAGTGAGAAAGCAAGCTGCCAGGTCCAGGATTAAAACTGTGGTTGGCCATGTGGGAATCCAGTGCCTTTAACCATCATACCACCTGCTAGCCCTGAAACATGCTGCTTTTTTAGTAGATATAATGCCAAGTGCATTATTTTAAATAATTTAAAATGAAAAATTATAATTTAATCTTTTAAAAAGCTTACTTTTAGAATAACAAAAGTCACTTTAGAAACAATAGCATTTTTATGCATCGATGCAAATAGGTTTTGATTAGATCTCTGGAGTCGTTAAGATAAGGAAAATATATATTATTTTATAGTTGATTTAGAGATCAAATATACATATATATATTAATAATATTTAGTGCTAGATATACTATCCAACAGCTTTTAAATTAATAGAATCACAAATAATTTTATGTGTAATTACATTATAGGCGCTGACCCTGCAATTAGAAAGATTGACTTTGGAATGTAATCAGAAGAGAAAGATACTTGACAATGAGCTTACAGAGACTCTAAGTGCACAGGTGGGTTTAATAAGTATTTTAATTCTTCATTTTCATGGTGATGCTTGCAAAAGCTCTTAAATTCATAGAAATATTTGTTTTCTATTTGACAGTTAGAATTGGATAAAGCAGCACAGGATTTTCGTAAGATTCATAATGAAAGACAAGAACTCATTAAACAGTGGGAGAACACAATAGAACAGATGCAGAAGAGGGATCGTGACATAGATAACTCTGCCTTGGTAAAGTAGTTGTTTGGATCTTGTCATGTTCCGTAGTGTTTGTCTCTTTTGTGTTTAACATGCTATTTCAAACGTAAATTACATTGTTATTAGAAAGTCACTTTGATAGCAGGATTCAGTAATTTTTGTAGATGTTTATTAAAGCTGAGTCTGTATCCATGTAGAAATTTGATTTTGTGAAGATTATGCATGTATAGTATTATAATCCCTGAAGACTGGGTCATGCCATTTCTGAATTGTGGAATAGAGAGAGTCAGCAGCTGATGTTATTGAAGTAGAGCTGATGCCTTTTCCAAGGTACCTTGGATTTAAATGTGTGCTGTCTTGCAAATAACTACAGTTAACTAAACCTCATAGATAATCAAGAAACAAGGAGAACTGGAAATAGAAACCTAAACTGCTGTAAACTTTCGCTTGTGAAGCTAGGGCAGCAGTAATGATGTAGGCTCTTCCATTGCAAACCAGACTTGGTGTTACATCTCTTGTTGCTTTCAGAGGCAAGGTAGGAGAATATAATGATTTTGGGGGAATCATTAAGGAATGAAATAATGGCGAGTAAAAGTGGGAAGATTAGGAGTTGGGAAACAGTAGGTTTTTTTTTATAAGAAAGAGTAAGAATTGAGGAAAGACAGCAGGTCAGAACATCTGTTAAATTCCATTCATTCAGTCTATTCTTTGGAAAGACATTTGGGAAACAGCTCAGGTCACTGGAGTTTAGAATCCTCGTGTCTAGATATGGTTTACTTGTGATTTTTGTATTTTCAGGTTTTGTGGGTAACCAACATTTTATTAACAGAATGAGCTGCTTCCCTAGAAGGGACAAGGGAGAACCAATCTTAAAAATGAGGTCCTTTTAATTCTTTTTTTTTTGTTTGAGAGAGATTTTTGCTATAGGGTGCATGTGCTTGCTGGAGAGCAAGAGACAAAAAGTGAGAAATCATCCACAGGGGTGGGAGGCCATGCCGCAATCCCCTCTCCTCCATTCTCCTCTTGAGATTTGGGTATGCATGCACGCACGCCTGGTGTGAGGTGTAAGCTACCAGGTCCGAGACTTGAACCATGAACCACAGTTTACTATGTAGAAGTCCAGCAATTTAACCATTACACCATCTGCTGGTCTCCCTCTTAATTCTTAACACTTACATTACTTAACGCTTACATTATTCCTTACTGCCTACTTTATGTAGATCAAATGTACCAGATCTAAAATTATAGATCTATGACCCTGCAGCTAAATTGACTCAGCCTGCTGGTTTGGGAGAATATTTAACTAGTAGAGTCCGGACCACATTCACAAAAGTTTTTTTTTATTTATAGGAAGACATCCATGGCTGTCTGTGTTGACAGAGACGAGGCTGAATGCTAAGAGGTAGTTCTTTTGGCAGTCACATGCTTCTAAGTGTTTAACAACCGTTCTCTCAGAACAAAATGGAAGAGACAAAAACACTCATTTGATTTATATTATTTCTGATTTCTGTGGTATGTCTACTTCCATATCAACTTGACTCCACTGAACATAAAGTTGAGTCTAGTTGTGTACATCCATTCTTGTGAGTCTGTGAGAGCCTTTTCACAAAACTAGAGCATCTCAGCTGTAAAATTTTTCTCTACCATCTTAGAGTTCCTGACTGGGACTGACATAAAATATATTAACAGAAGAAAGGCATACATATTTTATTTGGTGTATTAATACATGGGAACTCACACAAGAAAAACAACTAAAATAATGGCTAAGCCTAAGTACTTCTATACTAGGTTGAAAAAGAGTGGCAATTGTGGAAAAGTAACTAGAGAAATGAGTTTAATACGTTTGTACAGGTTTCTTTCAGCCTCATCTCCCTTTCTCTGGTGATAATAGTTTCTTATTACTGGTATGGGAAGGACACCTTTCACAGAGGCATTTTATCTCCTACTTTCAGCAAAAATAAAAGGAATGTTAGAGTGCCCTTTTTCCTTTTGCTATTTTCAAGTATTTTTAACTCAAAGTGATCAGTATACCTAAGTGGGATATTTTGGTGTGGTATATTATTATCCCCTATAACCAAGATTGTTCTCTTTTTCTCCTTTCCTTCAAAACAATCCCTGCCTTCTCATTGCCTTCCTAGCAGGAGTTTGGCCATACGATCCTAAAATTAGCTTTTAAAAAGAAACAATATTAGGACCAGCAGATGGCATAATATTTATGTTGCTGGACTCCCATGTAGTTGACTGTGGTTTGAGGGCTTAAACCGACACCAGGTGCATGTATGTTTTTTTCTTTTTCCTTTTTTTTTTTTTTTTGAGAGGTTTTTGCTACAGGGCGTGTGCGCTCACCAGCCAGACAGAGAGACAGAGAGACAGAAAGTGAGAACTCAGCCCCCCACCACCGAGGGGATGGCCACGCTGCAATCCCTTCTCCTCCATTCTCCTCAGAATCTTGGGCATGCACGCACATGGACCTG